ACGGCGCTCATGTCAGCCTCAAAATTACCGTCCACGTCAGTGTCTGACGAATCACCTTTTGGAATAGCACTTTCAGGTTCTCCCTCATCTTCGCTGTCCACATAGTCCTCGTCTTCATCCTCTTCATCCTCATCCAATGCTACCTGAGGAGGTGCAGAAGATCGTACAACTGTATCTTCTTGACCGGTACAGTGTGCAGTAGTGGTTGTATGCACCGGTAAAGATGAAGATTGTCCAACATCAACTTCAACATATATCTCAATATATTTTAATACTTTCCATTCAACAAACGCATCTGTTACGAACTCCACATCTTCATCATCATTTATATCGTTTCCAATGTAGTATATTGTATCCATATCCACTACAGTCTCTGACCTGGCTATCATGCGGTGGATGGAATGTATGCCTTCTGACCCCATTTTTTGAAGAATTCTCTCCTTCAGTTCATTGCATGTAGTGCCCACTTTGATTTTTATCGTTTTTGTTTTTCCTTCAAATCGGACACCGTTCGGACCTTCAAAATGCCTCCCATTGTAGTAAATAACTATAGGAACCATGTTTGGACTTGAACTCATCTTTCACACAAAAATTAGATCTAGGTTTTGGGTTTGGAGGTTGGTTCGGATTTTTTAGCACAAAATGGGAGTGTGGAGATGTAATCTCAATGTCCCACCAAGATTCAGCTTTCTGAAATGATGAGATGAAATATGTGTGATGTTTCGGATTAGAGAGGGTAAGAGAGAAAGATTTGGGGTTTCAAAAACCCTATACCTCGCAACAATGGCCGAAACCCATACATATTGGGGTTTCTGGACGCGATTTACCCGGGTACACTGCTCCTTACCCGGGTAAATAATTCAAACATTTTCCCAGATTCAAGAACTCTACCCGGGTACACCTCTACATACTCGGGTAGATAAAAAGTTTCAAAATTTACCCGGGTAGGTAATGGTGTACCCGGGTAGGCTTCGTGGTCAACGGTCAAACAGGGGCAGATTGGTGTTATGTTTGTTGGGGAGGGTAAATTTTCGAAATAGTTTTGAATGAAGGGCAATTTGGTAATTAATTATTAATTAAGGGGCATAAGGGTCAAAAAGCCGATTAATATGCCATAATATTGTTTTTTTTTTGTAATCAAATACTGTATTTGGTTTGTTAGTATCTCATCATAAGAAGTATCTTGGATATCTAAGAAGGATATCATGTTTGGCACGAAAGTACAATGATCATGAATATCTAGAATGTTCACTACTCAATTAAGATGGCCATTATGTGAGGATAGAACTGTTTATAAAATTTTAAAGTAGATGTTATTAATACGAGATAAGTTATTCTACCTACTTTTATTTTATCTATTTTTGTCTACCTCTCTCAACACCGTTAGATTACAATCTCATCCAACGGTGGAGATTTGCCGATAAAATAAATCATTTTTTCCTTTCTTTCTTCTCGTTGCCTCCCACACTTTTTCTTTCTCCTCCATTTTTTCTCTATCGATTTGCGTAATTTACAACTTGAATTTATATTTGAATCTAAATCCATGCAATGATTAATGACATAATAGTTTTATTGCATGAGTATAATTTTTAAAATTTCTTGAATCTGATATAATTGAACACGGCAAAAATCACAAAAAATTGAATCTAAATCCTTGAATCTAATATATTTCAAAATACACGATTACCTCAACGTTTCTACTTTGCTATTGAAATTTGAAATCGAATCAACTTATCTGGAACAGTGACCATTTTGCCACTGTTGGCAAAAAAAATTACCAGACTGCCACGCCAACAGTAAATTTTGCCAAAATGCCACGTGGCATATTTTGCTACACTGTGTAGCAAAATATGTGTGCAAATAATTCGCTACACAGTGCAGTGAAATATGCCACGTCAGAACCAAAAATGCCATGTGTCAAACAGGGAGAATTTCGCTACACAGTGTAGCGAAATTCTCCCTGTTTAACACGTGACATTTTTTGTTCTGTGCATTCTGACGTGGCATATTTTGCTACACTGTGTAGCGAATTATTTGCACACATATTTCGCTACACAGTGTAGCGAAATATGCCACGTGGCATTTTGAAAAAAAATTACAGTTGGCGTGACAGTCTGGTAATTTTTTTTGCCAACAGTGGCACTTTGGTCACTGTTCCAACTTATCTCCTTCTTCTTATTTTGTTTTTCACCTTGAAGTGGGGAAATGATCTCTATTCTTTCATGTTACGCCCAACAACAAGTCTGTCTACCTGGTTCCATAATATAGGGCATCTGAGTTTATTTCTTCTTGACACCTCACTTCAATTTTTTATGTAAATGCTGGTAAGAATGGCTGAGTTGGATGAATTGAGAAAAAAACTTGCACCTTTTTTTTATGTTGAAGCGCCATTGAAGAGAGAGAAAATGGATGAGAGAGAAAGAGTGAGAGGCAGTGTGACAGAGAAATGAGTAAAATAGTTTATTTTATATTGTAAATCTCCATCGTTGGATGAGATTGTAATCTAATGGTACTAAAAGGGATAGACAAAAGTAGTCAAAATAAGAGTAGACAGAATAATCTATCCCTACTAATATTATTTAAACAAATAAATGAAAATTATAGTTAAGATATTGTCAACAATTTAGATTTTAAATTAGTATAAGCTAATTTAGATGTTGCATGTTGATTCAAAATTTGTTCAGCAGCATATTTTCTTAACGAAAACATCAGAAGATGTATCTCTGAGTTTAACATCAGAATTTAATTATTTTATCAAATAAGTACCTTCTTAATTTCTGTGTGGCTGACATACAGAAAGACTTCTTAGCTGCTCAATAAGGCATGTATGTGCATGACAAATTACTAGCTGCCTAACATGTAAACTTTGGTTAACAGCTTCAGTCCAAAGTGCATAGAAGTTAGAGTGGGCAAGACCCTATTGCCAAGTATGAACAGACAAAATGACACTCTTGAATTGTAGAACATCCTCGGGAATTGTAGGAAGTGCACAAAAGAAAGTGGCCTCTGTCCTTTCTTGACTAATTAACAAGCTAGCTAGTATTGCTTATGATTTATTTATTATATGATATATACCATCAAGTATTATATACACACAGATTGGACTTTTTACTTGTTTTGTTGTCTGCTAACCATTTAAAATTCATGAATAATCACTTAGAAGCTTTTAATAACATTCATGTTATAACTACATAATTACTTATAACCATCAAACTTAAATTAAATTCATATCCTTTTTTCTAATTAATTTCTTTATGTTCGTTCCTTTCTTTCACAAAAATACTAGTTAATTAGATGGATAGATTTTCGTGACTCCCTTGTGTTTGTGTCCATTGCTTTGCAATGTCTTTAACAAGATTCAAATCTCAGGTATCATGGAAGGACATATTTCTAGCACAAATCTCAGAATATTTCAATCTCCACGTGTTTCCCTTATCCCCATAACATAAAAACTGAAGCAATATCATATAATCTAAACTAACAAAAAGAAAGGAAGAAAAGAGAGGAAGAAGAGGATTGAGTCCCTATTTAAAGGACAATTACCAAGGACAAGAGAAAATGACATAAGAAAAGCCAAGTTGCCCCCCTTTTTGTTGGTCATTTGTTGTCCCTCCAAATCTCTTAATTGGGTAGCTTTGTTATCTCTTCTTAAAAAGAAGATTTCCATGAAACCTAGTCAACCTAACTCAGTTTCTCTGTCAGTCTCCAATGTGATCACAACCCTCCAACAAAGATCAAACAATGTGCAACTTTGACTTTCACTTCTCCTGCCACTCCCAATTAGACTTAAATATATAACAACTTTGAACCATTCTTTATAAACTTTAGCAGACAGCCACTTCTTTTAAAAACAAATTTTGGCTTAACTCACATGTCTTGATGGTACTGGATTTATCTGCTAAGTATGTTGAAGAAGCATAAAGCATGAGGGATTAAAAATTGCACAAAGATACATAAAGGCTTCTTTATATAATGTATAATACACAATTTTGCAGCTTGTGCAATACACACTTACCGAAAAGCACATTGTGTTGTGTCTAAGCAGATGAACTCGAGAAATAAAAAAATCAATTATATTCATAGACATCAACTATGCATAGTTTAACCACTATAAGTGAAACTTACATGTTGTCTGCTCCACCAAAACGTTGAACAGTGGCTGCTTTTACGCATGTCTTTATATTTCTATTTCTTTATTAATAGCACAAAAAATCAGGTTGATGTAACTAGGAACGTTCTGTTTTATTTTATAAAAAAACATTGATTCGGCCTTCACTTACCCGCTTGAGTTTTTAGGTGAGATGATTGTTTATCATGATATCGGAACTTGATTCATGAATTTGATCTTCACCACCCTCCACTTTTCTAGTAAAATTAAGTCAAAACAAAATAAAATAAAATAAAGAATAAATACCTTTTTGGCCCTCAGCAAATTTCACGATGCCCATTTTAGTTCCTAGCAAATAAAAAGGCTATTTGTGGTTCCTAAGAAATTCAAAATGGATCCATTTAGTTGAAATCGTGGTTCATCGCAAATTCAAAAAAGACCCACATTAGTCCCTCAAAAGGACTAAAATGGATTCATTTTGAATTTATTAAAAACCTCGAATAGCCATTTTATTTGCTAAGGATTAAAGCGGACATCATGAAATTTGCTAGAACCGAAAATGGTATTTATTCTAAAATAAATAAGTTTGTGCAATATCCGCCTTTTTAAGTCCGAAGATCTAAATCAAACCCATCAACCAACATATATATACCTCAATCTCACATTCCCTAAATTCAAAGAAAGTGAATTATATTAATATTAAGCTGATCTGTGATGCACACAAAAGCAATTCAAAAAAGAAGAGGAAAAAGACAAAGCTTATGGCATTAGATTATTCAGTTAAGGTATTATAAATGCACACGGGCTCAGATCTTTATGGTTCAGAAGCTCAGAGCAAAAGTTTTAAGTTCAGAGAGGCACAGAATCATTGAGAGGAATCTAGAAGTGAAATATGGATGAGGGCATGTCAGGTTTTTGTATTAGAGCTGGAAGTGTTCGTAGTAATAGTGGGAGTACTGGCACTAAGTGTGGGCGTTGGAATCCCACTACTGAACAGGTTAAGCTTCTCACTGAACTCTTCAGTTCTGGACTCCGCACTCCAAGCACTGATCAGATTCAAAAGATCTCTACTCAGTTGAGTTTTTATGGTAAGATTGAGAGCAAGAATGTGTTCTATTGGTTTCAGAACCATAAGGCTAGGGAAAGACAGAAACGTCGCAAGGTCTCCTTTGATGATAAGGATGTAATTCGTAGAGAAAGCTCATTAATGTCCATGAATTCTTCTACACAAAGTAAGTACTATATCATAACTTCTAAGTACTAATAAAGGTCACTTTTCTTTTCTTTTCTTTTCTTTTTATATTATCTATCGGTTCATGGATTACTTGAGCAGTCTCGTTCGAGTCGGGTAAGATTATATAGGACTCTCCCTACCAAATTACAACAGAGCTGGATTCTTATGATTCAAATTCGAGATCACTAGTTAAACTGAAACAACTCCTTACTAATTGATCCGCGTGTTGGTTTTCCTTTTCTTTTCCAAACACCACCAAACATAACATAACTAGCTGAGATGGTATAATATATTTGACCCTTTATTTCTTCAATTTGTTTATTTTTGCAGATTTTGCTCAGCTTTATCCTGTTTCAGAGAACGACAGGGTGATTGAAACTCTTCAACTCTTCCCTTTGAACTCCTTTGGTGAATTAGAATCAAAGAATCTCAGGGTCCATGGAAATGAATGCAGGGATAATAGGATGTTTTCATATACTATGGTGGGACAAATGGATCACCCACCTCTAGATCTTCGCTTGAGTTTTTTGTAAACATGGGAATCTTTTGAGGTTATGTTCTTTTAATAAATACATTAATGTTGTTAGGTTTAGCATAAAAAAGAAAACATATTCACCTAGTGATCGCTGATAATTTTTGGTTCCCTCTAAATTATGTATCTGCATGCTCGTTCAATTTTTATTTTATTTTTTTCCCCTCTCTCTCTCTCTCTCTCTAGATCTCTGAGTATACTTTGTTGGATTTAGATATTTTGAATACTTGGGATTCTAATTCGCTTCCTCTCATGAGAGATGTCTTCTTGGAATGCATAAAGGATACCATAAATACTTTTACTATTCGATTACTAATGAGTCATGCCTCGGGTCTGCCCCCATCTTTGAATATAATGAACCATTTACCCGCATATATATATATATATATAAAATAAATGGAACAGTATCTAACCGAGTTGGGAATGTCATTCATCGTTATTCTCTAGGGGGTGTTTGGTTCAAGTTTCTGGAGAGGATTACCGATAATCCTTCTTTGGTAAATGTAATTACCATGTTTGGTAGAAGGAATAAATTACGATTCCCGGATATCCAAGGATTACCGGTAATTTGATTTATAAAGAAAAGTCACTATTCAGATTACCAAAAATAATATGGTAATTCGGAATACCAATCAGAATACCAAGTAAAGGGAAAGCACAATAATAAATTTTGAGACAAAAATACCTCAATACACATAAAAATCTAGACCCAATCTATCAATTACAAAAGTAAAAATAGTTTGGGGTTATTTTTGTAAAATAACCTCATATTCCAAGTCATATTTCGTTCTAAACCAAATATGGAATCAGTAATTTTTACCCAGTATTCCCGGTAATATTTTGGCGAACCAAACACATCTTTCGTAAGATTCCAAGTAAACTCAATTTCTACTGAATTCCCATTAATCATGATTCCCGGTCACCAAAAAATTTCTCCTGTACCAAACACATCCTAAATATTGTTTAAGAGAAGATAGACTAAGAAAATTTGTTAAGGTCAGTGGTAGTATATCACTCTGATTCGCATGCAAGGGAGCTAGCTAGTCACGTGCATGACCAACCAAATAATATAATTATAATAAAGGTCCTAGACCAAGAGTCACGCTCAACCTTGAAATGTAATTAAGGCAAATAAGGTTGTCGTTGATATACAATAATGAGCTTATCTATGTCATATATATGGCTAGATGGTGTAAAACGGGTTCGGTTCGGCTTGGCGGGACAACTTATCCCACTAGTTAAACGAGGCGGGGTGTACTGAGTTTTTCAACCCATCTCAAGAGTGGGGCAGATTCATTTTTTGATGAGTTGATGGCGGAAATAGGCGGGTCCAGGGGCGGAAATAGGCGGGTCCAGGGGCGGACCTGCACTTGTGTAACTGTGTGCAAGTGCAGACACAAATTTTTAGGAAAAAAAAAGTAAAGTACTTTTGGGTCCTCAACAAAAATCGCGAGACTCAATTTAGTCCCTTAAAAAAGTCGATATGTGGTCTCTTTGAATTCCAAAATAAACATAGTCAGTCGAAATTGTAAACTCTCTGAAATTCAAAGAAGATCCACTTTAGACCCTCAAAAGGACTAACATGAATTTTATAAGGACTATGAGTCAACTTTTTTTTCCCTAAGAAATTAAATTAGGCCCCGTAATATTTGTTGAGTATCCATAAAATACTTTACTCTAAAAATATCTCCAATGACAATGACAATACACATTATGTGCTCTCAATTTTAACTTTATACTCAAATAATTTAACAGTTTAATTGACTCTTGATTAATATTTTTTTATGTTAAGTTGAAGTTTTCTTTTCTTGTTTATTTTCTTTTATTTTTTGATACATTTAAAAAAATTTAAATTTTTTTTTTGGGAGGCCATCCCTAATTATGCACATAAATAAAATTTTTTGAGTTCGCCACTGGGCGGGTTGATGCGGGGGTCAATGTAAAATAGACTCGGGCTGGTGGGCCAACCTGCCCAGCCCGCCAAACGGGACGGAGCGAGCCGAGTTTTTCAATTCACTTTCAAAAGTAGAGCGGGATGGGCTGACTCATTTTTTGAGGTTGATGGCGGGACGGGGCGGGGTGCCCACTTTGCCACCTCTATATATGTGGCTAACATTTTTAAAATAATAATGGGCATTGAATATAACATTTTTAAAATAACAATTAAATTTTTTTTAATTTTTTTTTTGATAATTTTTTAATTTCTTGATATAAAATTTATATAAATAATGTATAATTTCTAATTAACAAAGGGTTTACGCACGAACAAGTTTTAATTGAGAACACGAACCGTGATGACTAAATTATAATAGATATTGGGTATTTTAATTTTTTTATTAAAAAATTACACATCAATATATTTTCTTAAATAATAAAAATTTATAAGAATGAGGTGAGAAATTAGGAATATTCAGAAATGGAAAGTATGCTTGATATCTTTTAACATATTCTTTAAAGGGATAGGTTATTGTGCCTACTCCCATTTTGCCTACTTTTACCTACCCCTCTCAACATCGTTGGATTACAATCTCATCTAACGGTTCAGATTCAAAAGTTAAATAAAACCCTTTTACTCTTTTTTTCTCTCTCTCTAACTCCACTCTTCTTCCCCCCTATCTCTCTGACTCCACCCTTATTCTCTCCCTTGCTTGCGATAAAGAAGACGTACTTGCAAATATCTCTTCCACTGAAAACCAGATACGTTGCTAAGAAACAAAATCGATGGTAGAATTCATGCCTTAACATCCACAGATTAAAAAAAAAAAAACCAAAATATTAAAAAGAACTACGATGCAAGGAAGAACAAATAATACGACATCATCTTTTTCTTTGTTAAAAAAACAGGAATGACATATATTATTAAAGATTCGAAAGCTGCAAACACCAAAGTATTTGTGCATAAACTCAAAATTGAGTATCCAATATTATCATCCTGGAAGAAAAGAAGAAGAAAATACAAATTTCTACAGTACTCTGCTTTGTTACCCTTAGAAGAAAATAAGCCATAATTTAGGGCGATGAATAATTAGGGTTGTTTGGGTTGAAACAAAGGTAAATAAAACCATATCGAATCGTTTAACACTACGTTTGTTAGATCACATTTGGAATGAGAGAGGGAGAGTCTATTTAATGGAAACAAAAAGCCCTTTCCCATCTCTGTTGGTTTAGGTTTCAGCGAGGCCCAGATTCTGCACAAAGATGGGATCAATCATCAGTCGTCGACAAGCAACACCGCCGTAAAAAGGCAACAAAATCAAAAATCCAAATATACAGAAACCACCCTAAGATGGGAAAAAGACAAAGTTATCAATTTCATTCTGAGACGGAACCCTAACATGCTCTGGCAAATTCTATCACTTTAATTTATATACTCCAATTAACTTGTTCTTTTCCAATTCAACCCTTCTCAGAATACAAGTGCATGGACAAAGGATGAAGAATATTTTCCTAATCGTAAAATGTAGACTTGGGCGTCTTCTTCATCGCACACAAGCGAGGAGAGAGAAAGGGTGGAGTTAGAGAGAGAGAAAGAGCAGAGTTAGAGAGAGAGAGAAAAAGAGTAAAAGGGTTTTATTTATTTTTTGAATCTGAACCGTTAGATGAGATTGTAATCCAACGATGTTGAGAGAAGTAGGTAAAGGTAGGCAAGATGGGAGTAGGCACAATATCCTATCCCTTCTTTAAAATAAGAATAAAAAAGCTGAAGACTGTAAATATGTCAGGCCCAATGTTATTTGGGCTAGAACAGTTGAACTAATTTGGGCCGTTGGAATAACATGATGGGTCCCGTGTCCAACACGAAAAGAAAAGAAAAGAAAAGAAAAAGAAAAATAAAGAAAGAAAAAGAAAAGGAAAAGCACGTTGTGACTTGTGAGGGAGAGAATTGAACTGAGAAAGAGGGAAATCTTCTGAATCCGAGTAACGAGTTGCAATGGATGTGATAAAGACACAGCAAATCTCATCTAGATCGATCGAAAAAGTGGTAGTTCACCCGTTGGTGTTGCTCAGTATCGTCGACAACTACAACAGAGTCGCCAAGGACACTCGCAAGCGCGTCGTCGGCGTCTTGCTCGGTTCCACTTTCAAGGGCACCGTCGATGTTACCAACAGCTACGCCGGTTTGGATCTATCTTTTTTTTCATTTATTCATTAAAATTTTTTTATTCTTATTTTCACTTAATGTCAAATGTTATGTTGTTAGAATTTGTGCCCTAAAGTTTTAATTAAAAGTGTGTGTGTTTGTTTAAATTCTTTTTTAATTGAACTTCTTATTGAATGAACTTGTTTGTTAGATAATGTTGAAGTTTCCCATGACACTAGTTGCTCCATTGGTATGTTTACTATGTTTGATATCCAATTGAATGGATAAGATAATTACTTCCAACATAAATCTTGGTCAAGTGATTCTCTGTGTGATTTTAAATATCAACAGCTATTAGGATTAGTGAATTGTATTTATTGTCTCACAAATTGATTATCTAATCAACAGTGCCCTTTGAAGAAGATGAGAAGGATCCTAGCATATGGTTTCTTGACCACAATTATCACGAATCAATGTTTTCCATGTTTAAGAGAATAAATGGTATGAGTTAGTAAATACTTCCCTTTACTGTATTATGCTTTCAATTGAAATATGATATAATCAAAAGTTTTTTTTTTTTTTTTTTTTTGAATAGCGAAGGAGCATGTCGTGGGGTGGTATAGCACTGGTCCAAAACTGCGCGAAAATGATCTCGACATTCATGGGTTATTTAATGAGTATGTTTATTGAGCTGAAATCCTGTGTTGAGTGATATTTTCAATACTGTGTTTATACTTCATTTGAGCATTAATATTTCCCAATTTTTTTTAAGAAAAGTATTGGCTTGGCAAATTGTTTACCCTTTTATTCTCATGAATACAATTGTCTTGATCTGATTGAAACTTTATACGACATACTCTATTTGTTGCTGTTATGCTCTTTGCCTCTTTCCTGGCTTATTTGTCTTCATCTTTGTTTTTGTGTCCCTAATTAATCTTTATCCAAATTGATCAAGCTTAAAACCATTGCAGTTATGTTCCAAATCCTGTTTTGGTTATAATTGATGTTGAACCTAAGGAGTTGGGAATTCCAACAAAAGCTTATTATGCCGTTGAAGAGGTTAAAGAGGTACTAAGTCCTTTATATGTTAGATAAAAGTTTCATACTTTTGTTATTGTTGATATTTATTTATTTTTATACCTTTATTCACATATTTATTTATTTATTTATTTATTTCTTCTTTCTTATTAATTGTTCTATTCCTTCAATCTTTTCTTGCTTTTCATCTGGGTTCATCAACTGCTGACCCAATTAGTTTGGGATAAAAGTGATTTTGATGTTTTTATAAGTAATTATGCTGTATATGATGGTGGAAGGAGAGCTGGTGTTTGTTTGTCACTTAATTGGTACGCATAGGAACTGACAGATAGTTTATTCTGAATATAGAATGCCACTCAAAAAAGCCAAAAGGTCTTTGTGCATGTGCCATCAGAGATTGCTGCTCATGAAGTTGAAGAAATAGGTATGCCATTGAATGTAAACCCGTTGTAATTGTTTTATGGTTCATTTTTAATTTATTTGTTTTTAAATTTTACAATACCAAAGTTTTTAATTTTATACACACAGTTGTCTAAACTAAGTCTAAGCAATTTCTCCTGTTGTTTTAAATTCTTCTTACCCTTATGTAGGAGTGGAACACTTGCTTAGAGATGTGAAGGATACAACCATTAGCACCCTTGCAACAGAGGTGTGTTTTTTAAAACTTATCCTTATCTATTAATTCCTTTCTCTTTGTTTTCTTTTTTCTTGATGCTCTTTTTTTTATGTTGTTTCCCGTGTAATACTTTGGTGGTTCTTTTTAGCAAAAGAATGAATGCTGAGTGCTAACAATGTAGTTTTTTAACATAGGTGAGTGCAAAACTCACAGCCTTGAAGGGTTTGGATGCTAGACTCAAAGAGATAAGGAGTTACCTTGACCTTGTTATTGATGGAAAGCTTCCCTTAAACCACGAGATCCTGTACCATCTGCAGGTTTGTTTCTCATATTTTTGCCTAGTAAATGCTGATCCTTTGGCTTTGTGATCAATTGGTTCATGAATCTAGATCAAAGTATTTTCTGCTGATCAACATCTCTTAAGTTAATTTAGAACCTGATTTTAACTACCCAACAAGTCAACCATGTGACATTAATGGCTGGAAGAAATACTTGCTTGGGAAATAGGAGTGGTTTATTTTATTTTATTTTATTTTTGCGCTTTTGCTCCATTATTGTTTTTCACCATTTCATTTCTTATTGCAATTTGTTAGGACGTGTTGAACCTGCTACCAAATCTCAATGTTGCTGATCTTGTCAAGGCTTTTGCAGGTTAAGATTTGTAATTTGTCTTTGTGAATATCATGTTTTTCTGTAATGTCCCTTCCAGATTGCTGATACCTGTCCTACATTCGCAGTGAAAACCAATGATATGATGCTGGTAATATACCTGTCGTCTCTCATTAGAAGTGTAATTGCACTCCACAACTTGATTAACAACAAGGTGAGATACACTATCCTGAATCTTGCTGCAAGTATTATTGATGTCTGCTGATTTTGGCTTTATATTTAGGGTTCATTATTATATTATGAAATAATTAACAACTTTGGCAAGTTTGGATAAAAACTCAAGTTAGTCCTCTGTTAAATGGATTCATATTTAGTAAGCTAGGCACTTGATACAGTCATCCCCTGCTACTGCTATCGTAAATGAGAACGCTTATAGAATGAAAACTGTTGTTAAATCATCACTGGTTTACTGGGATTCATGTTTTTTAATATTGAAATATAATTTCAGATGCTCAACAAAGAACATGAAAGGGCAGAAGACTCGAAATCTGAAGTCTGCGTAAGCTTACAGGTGTCGTGATGATTGGAGCTCTAAAGGCAATGTTATTGAATACATAGACCAAGATTATTACACCTTCATCAGTTTCGTCGATATTCTTTCGCATTTCTACTAGGGTTAGAGAAACACATCTAACATGGCACAATGATCCTTTTACATTTTTTTTGTGCTTTATTAATGCACTTTACCCTTCAATCCTTTTGCACCTTTTTCCCCTACCGACGGTTAATAGTGACCGATAGCCTAGCCATGGCTATCAGTAATCAACCATTGAAATTGATCACTCCCTGCCATTAAACTCGGCTTGGTTATTGATCTGGTTGAAGTACTAGGTCACCAGTTCAAACAGTGGATCACTGGTTCAACCGCATGACCCCGTAAGTATATATAAATCTACAATTTATATTAAAAAAACATAAATATACTTAAATACTTGTAAAAAAAATATATCAATTTCAAATATTTTAATATGAAAATAATAAATTATTGTCCAACAAAAGATCAATCAAACATATAATATTTGTGATACTAGTGTTTCAAGTTCATTAAACGACATTTTTAATTATAAATTAAATCAAAATTTCTTGCATATTGCATAATCAAGATAATATTAGTGTTGTAGATACATAATCTATGTAAGTTAATAAGTAACAAATCACTCAAATATTTCAAAAGAAAACAAACTATTTGTGTTTGCGAATAAAAAAAAAGACATTAATTTATGAAAATCAATTAGTTTTTTTTTTTATAGACTGGGCCGGGTCATCGGGTCGTACTGGGTCACACCGGTTCTGTAATATGGTCAGTCCAATATGAAAATCGGATCGATTACATGATCAGTTTTTGGGTTGACTAGTCCGATTTTTATAACATTGCTCCCTGTTACTTGGCGATTGTATTCATTAACAAAAATGTTTTGATCTACCAAACACGAGAATATCATTCTTGGGGCTTTTTGACCCTTATGCCCCTTAATTAATAATTAATTACCAAATTGCCCCCCATTCAAAACTATTTCGAAAATTTACCCTTCCCAACAAACATAACACCAATCTGCCCCTGTTTGACCGTTGACCACGAAGCCTACCCGGGTACACCATTACCTACCCGGGTAAATTTTGAAACTTTTTATCTACCCGAGTATGTAGGGGTGTACCCGGGTAGAGTTCTTGAATCTGGGAAAATGTTTGAATTATTTACCCGGGTACGGAGCAGTGTACCCGGGTAAACATCGACGGTAGGGTTTTAAAATGCCCCAGCAGCCCCATTTCGAAAACCCACAAAAGGGGTACCCGAGTAGAGCTGCTGGAGGAGTGTCATCTTGAGCGATTTCAGGCATAATCTTGCACTAATTCGTCTTGTTTGTGATCATCATTCGCGGACCTTGCAACCTCTCTGCCTTCTACCGATTGAAATCGATCAAAGGTGAATTTTTTTTTCAGTTTTTTCAATTATGTTATGATTTCTGTTCTGATTCATTGTATTTTCGTTTATATCATTTGATTCTGTCCGAATTATTTTATCAATTTGTCTAACCCTAACCCTAACCCTGAATCTAACCCTAACCCTAACCCTAACCCTAACATGTATCTAATTTCTGATTTTGGTTATTTTTTCAGTTTAATAGTGTGACACAATGACCTCTCGACGCGTTTCAAAGCTGCCAGTGACCCATTCCGAGAGAAGAACCAAGAGTCGTCACGATGGGTCGTCATCCTCTCAGCCCCAGGCTGCTTCGAGTCAGGCTCCGGACTTGACGTTCGGATATTTGTTTGAGGATGACATTCCTTCACACGAGAAGTTCGTGAAGTTTTTCATGACCCGGAAGATCTGCGAACCGAAATCACTGGATTCGGCATTCTTCAACCTAGAGCGTTTTGACATCGTGCCGCTTCTTGAGCAGACACATTTACTTCACCTGGCGGAGATGCGGTGCCCATACTCGGAGGTTATGGTAAGAGCCTTCTACCAGAACCTTGGCTACTCGCAAGGCGAGCTGACTTCCCGTGTCTGCGGGATTGATATCATCATGACTGCTCCTATCTGGACGGAGCTACTGGGGTTCGATTTTGATGGTGTCACAGGAGCAGCACTATATGATGGAGACAGCCATCATATATTTGGTGATTATAACCGGGAGACCATTGTTACAGAGACTAGGAGGGCAGACGCTGAGCCCGGTCATTTTGCTCATTATCCTGTTAGCAACTTGTCAGTTTCTGCTCGCATTCTTCATTATGTGGTGACACATATTATTTTCCAGCGCCCGCATAATCACTCAAAGGTGCTGGAAGGGGACTTTGTCATCCTGTGGGCCCTCCTTCACAGTCAGCAGGTGAACTGGAGGCATTACATATGCATACTGATGTGGAAGGCAGCCAAGTCAAAGAAGGCTGAATTGCCTTTTGCATTTCTGGTGCAGAAGATTCTGCATAGATTTGGAGTGCCTATGGCAACAGAGACCTTGAAGACCGCCAGAGGCTGGAATGCTATATTTGGTGAGAGGCTCCTGAAGCAGTGTGGGATCCTACCGAACAGAGCGGGTATCTGGACGTGGAAGAAGGCACCAGAACCACCTGAGATCCCATTCCACCACGATGCTGAGATGGAGGATGCACCTGCAGGTGATGTGTTGGTCTTTATGAGTTTATGCAATTTTGTGTTGTTTAATTTTTAATGTGGTATTGAAGTTTGTTTTTCATGGTTTATGATGTAGGCCTTGATGATGATGACGATGATGATGGCGTTGCTGAGGTTGATGTCAGACCGACACGTCCCACCCGCAGTCGGCGACCACCAGCTCCTCCTGAGGGTGGATGGACACTTGATCATGTCATGGCATCCTTATATGATCTGACTACTGACTTTAGAGGATATAGACAGAGCACGAGCAAGTGGCGAAACCAGATGGACACAAGGGTTGCACGGTTGGACACAAGGGTTTCACGCTTGGAGGGTTTAATTGGCGAGGGTGCCCATACTCAGGAGGAGGAGGAGGAGGATGATGACAATGGGGATGACACACAATCGGATGAAGAGAATGGGGAGGACACGGCATCGGATTAGTGTGTCCATAGGGTTTCATATCATTGATTTAGTTTGATGTAATGTAGTCATTTTGGTACATTTAGGAACTTTACCTACATTGCATGGATGTTTTTGTACTGGATATTCAAAATTTGAATGAATGAAATTTTCGTTTTGCGCACGTTCAGACTTGTTGGTTCTATGCATTAGTATGGGACCTTGCATTAATATTGTCATAATTAATTTGGAAATCAATTCAACCCAAAGTACTTTAATATTCATGTTCAACTTTGATTGGCGCACATCTTGATTACTGCATCCTATTTCTACGAAATCAATCCACCCCCAAGTCATACCGTATGTAGGTATTGCACAACAATTACCAAAATGCAACAAAAATTGCCAAAACAGCATCTGCAACAGCATCTGCAACTGGTCTACCCGGGTACCACGAATAGTCTACCCGGGTAGTATGTACTCGGGTATATCATTACGAGTTACCCGGGTAGACCAGTTGCAGATGCAGCAGCAGGTGCTGTTCAATCCATTTTGTTAGCATCTTGGTAATTGATGTGTAATACAATAACCTTAACTGACTCGGGGAAGGGGTAAATGGGTATGGTAGACATTCGGATTGCACAATACGGAACGAGTGACTCGCTAAACTTAACGGATACATTTCAACAATACATTTCAACAACACAAGAATACAGTTCAACAATACATTTCAACAACACAATACATAACTAATACAAGATAAAGTTTAGGGTACAAGGAAACAAAACAATACGTAAAGTGATTGTCATTACAAAACAAAGTACTACACAAAAACAATACGTAATCATGCTTGTCTTAGTCTCAATGGACATGTACGAATGTTATGTCCAACTTGCTTGCAATGCTTACATCTGCTCTGACTGCTAGAGGGTTGAGACTCAACCCAATCCATCTCATTCTGAATCCTTGAAGACTTTGGTCTTCCTTTTGAGCATCCGGAATTACAGTAGGCCCAACAACGGATGGAATCAACAATTCATTGCCAATAGGAAACCAGTGTGCAGCATATACTTTAGCAATGGTTGGAATTTATCTTTGAACATGTGTACCCTGCAAAAAACCATGACATATGCATTAGTTAGTGAATTTCATCAACGTTTTCTTCAAATGGTTGAAAATGTGAGTAATTATACCGTACATTACCCATCAACGTTTTCTTCAATTCCACATTCCTAAAACGGGTATTGAAGTTGCTTCCGATGTGACGTAGACAAAATACATGATAAGCATATGGAGGCTGCCAGTCTTTCACCGCCCTTATGAATGATCGGATATTAGACAAATACCATGCCTATGTGTGACATGAAAACGTAAAATAAGATGGACCAAAAAACCTCTCATTGAAAATATTTAATGGAGGAACAACAGCAAAGGCAATAGGGAGCAGAAATCCATCTCCATCCTGAGATGTTGCAACAATACATTTCAACTTTACAGCAATGAGTTGTCAATTTGAATTAAGGCTTGCAGTGTTTGAATGCTTCAATGCATTGGTGAAATGTCCAAAAAACCCTTTGAAATACATGTCTGTATTCCGTCATATACTTTAGCCAATTTGGCAAGAATGCGTACGATTTCTCCCAGTCACCAAACAACTTAACGATGGCCTTCATTTTTGCCTTCCAGGCCTTCCTGTACGTTATGTTGTATCCATATGTTCCCTGTATCCTCTCCTGTATCAGAGCTGGTCTTGTGGATGGATCTTCCTTTAACATATCTGGAAAAAAAAAATTAACTTTACCATATTCTCAATTAATCTGAATCATTAAATAAACAGTAGAATACATACTCATTATAGCCGCACAAATGACATTTGAATCCAACTGTCTATGATCCTGTGCTAGGCCTTGATTTAGGCATGTGTGACCTTGACCCCATTTACGGACCACCCAGTTAGCTCCCTTCTTCGGCTTAATTGCCCTCATATACCAGGGACAACCGTCAGCATGGTTTTTACACTTCATAACAAATCTTGACTCGTCGCTTTTTTCAACTATGGCTGTCCTGCGCCCCTTCATACAATGTATCTTCACAGCATGTTGCAATTCTGGTTTGGACCCAAATTCTTGTTGCACAAATAACGGATCTCCTAACTTCCAACCTCCGTGCAAGTCATCATCGCCATATAGGATCTCCAACTCGTCATTAGGGTGCGCCCAGTTAATGAATGAATAATGTTGGCTTTCATTCCAGAATGGCTCCTCAGACCCTGCATCTAAAGATCATGTCAAATTTAATAACTTACCACAAATAATAAATTGTCTAAAGCAAATATTCAAATTTAATAACTTACCACTACTGACTGGGTCGACATGAAGTGGTGACAAGGCTGGGGTACCGAGACTTACGGCGCTCATGTCAGCCTCAAAATTACCGTCCACGTCAGTGTCTGACGAATCACCTTCTGGAATAGCACTTTCAGGTTCTCCCTCATCTTCGCTGTCCACATAGTCCTCGTCTTCATCCTCTTCATCCTCATCCCATGCTACCTGAGGAGGTGCAGAAGATCGTACAACTGTATCTTCTTGACCGGTACAGTGTGCAGTAGTGGTTGTATGCACCGGTAAAGATGAAGATTGTCCAACATCAACTTCAACATATATCTCAATATATTTTAATACTTTCCATTCAACAAACGCATCTGTTACGAACTCCACATCTTCATCATCATTTATATCGTTTCCAATGTAGTATATTGTATCCATATCCACTACAGTCTCTAACCTGGCTATCATGCGGTGGATGGAATGTATGCCTTCTGACCCCATTTTTTGAAGAATTCTCTCCTTCAGTTCATTGCATGTAGTGCCCACTTTGATTTTCATCGTTTTTGTTTTTCCTTCAAATCGGACACCGTTCGGACCTTCAAAATGCCTCCCATTGTAGTAAACAACTATAGGAACCATGTTTGGACTTGAACTCATCTTTCACACAAAAATTGGATTTTTTAGCACAAAATGGGAGTGTGGAGATGTAATCTCAATGTCCCCCCAAGATTCAGCTTTCTGAAATGATGAGATGAAATATGTGTGATGTTTCGGATTAGAGAGGGTAAGAGAGAAAGATTTGGGGTTTCAAAAACCCTATACCTCGCAACAATGGCCGAAACCCATACATATTGGGGTTTCTGGACGCGATTTACCCGGGTACACTG